ATGTGGACTGTCATTGTTCGGCAGTCGTTTACAGGCGCAGTGTTCAAGAAACTCGTGGGTACAGGTGTGCAGAAACTGACAGCAAAGAGCGCGGTGTGACAGACCCTGACAGATAGTGGGGGGCGGGCTGGGGCTCCCATCTGAATTGACATGGGGAGCGTGAGACTGTTTGGGGAAATGGCGGGTGGGGTTCGTTGGAACGGCTGGGCACAGGTGGCTGCATTTGTGTGGTGAAAACGTGTTTCAGCGGGAGCGAGAAAAGTGGAGACCAGATTGGGTATCGTATCGTGTGAGGCGACTGCTGCGAAAAGTGTGTCGTGTCGCTTTGATTCAGTGAAAGTGTGATGTTAGGCGGGTTCGCAATCAATGAGCACGGTGCTTCGTTTGTGGGCTGGAGTATATTGGTGAGGGTAATTGCTCTGCAGGGGTCGCAATTTTTTTTTTAATGCACCCGTAACAGAATTTATTTACACCAAAACAGGTAAATTTAACAGCACAATAAAATGATGCGGCGAGACATCATGCACGGGTGAACCAGATCAGAAGGGCGGGGCAGCGGGTCTAGGTCGGGGCGGACGCATATCAGGGGCGCCGCCTGGCCGTTGACGCCGTTGCATGGCCGTTCTCCTGCTTGGACCACTTCGCCTCGTCGTCGGCTGACGCATCCGAGGGACGCCGGGCCCGCTGTCGCCGCCGCAGCCGGCACCCGGCGGCGGCCGTCCGTCGTGGACCATCGGCAGTGCGCCGGCCGTCCGGCTCTGCCGCTCCCGTCGGAAAACGGCGTTGTCTCGTTCCACGGCAGCTCGCAGCGGGCCAGGCAGGGCGGCCAGCGCCGACAAGCCGCCCGCCGCCCCCGCCACCGCTGCATCGGTCAGCCGGTACAGCAGCGTGTAGGCTGCCTCGGTGGAGCGGCGCGGCCGGCCCAGCGCGGTGGCCGCCGGCACCGGCACCGCTGACGTATCGTCCAGCCGCCACCAGCCGGTATCGTCCATCCCATCAATACCACCGCCACCGGAGGCGCGACAGAATGAGAAATAGTGGCCAGCGTCCAGCGAATGGCCCGCGTGGACTATCACTGCATACAGCCGGTACTGGGCGGGCGGGCCGGTGGCTAGCGGCACTGTCAGCCACTCGGTGAGCTCCACAGGGGTGAGAACCTTGCGGCGTGCACCGGTGCGCCGGTCAACCGCGAACCTCATCAAGGAGACGACCAGGTTGGCTGGCGGAGAGAGCAGTCGCAGCTGGCGCTCGGCGTCCCGCAGGCCGGTGCACTTGGTACAGTAATACTGGTTATCACCGCACAGTCGTTCCGGCGTCAGGTAGTCGAGCAGCAGCTGCGATACGGTTAGCTCGATCTCTGTCTGGTTGTCCGTCGGTGGCGTGCCCCGCCAACCGACCGGCCGCGGCGCGGGGCCGAACGCCGGCGCAGTTTCGGCTCCCCCGGCGCCCGCGGCAGCTGCCGTCAGTGACCGTGTCACCGACTCCGGCAGAGCCAGGTGCAGGTCCGTCACGCTGTTCTCGTGGCGCGAAGCGCCGCCGCACATGAGACAGGTGAACGTAGTCTCAGCCCGTCCGGTCAGTAGCCGACGGACCAGGCCGGCGGGCGGCTCCTCAGCTCCGGCATCGCCAGTACCGTGCTCACGCACCACCTCGCCCTGCGCCTGGCCGTCCGGATCAGTCTGCTGCGTCCCGCCGGTGTCCGGTGACTCTGTGGGCTCCCCCTCCGCGGCAGTCCGCTCCGCCCTGTCTCCGGCCGGCTCTGCCATCACCACATCGTCGCTGGCCAGGTCAGAGAGCTGCACCGGCGGCGATCTCCCGCCGGCCCGCGCAGTGTCGCAGGAACGGTGCCGGCGCCGGGACCGCGGCCGCTCCATCGCCGCTGCTCCCGGCACGCTGGAGTCGTCTCTGGCGCGTGCGGCGGCAGCAGCTGGAGGGACTGGCGGCGGGACCGCGACCGGTGCGGCAGGGGAAGCTGCCGGAGACCGCTCCTCCTCATGCAAGGAGTCCAGAAAGCATCGGAGGAACTCTGAGCAGTCGTGCTGCCGGCCCCGCTCAAAACAGGGCGGCAGAGCGGTCCGCTGGAACTCGCCCGGGCTGTAGACGGGCCGCTCCGAGAACGCCAGGAAGGCGAACACTCGCTGTAGTGCCGCCAGGTGCGGGCGGGAGGGGGACGGCCGCGCCGCCAGCACCTCGCCGCGCAGCTGATCTGAATGGAACAGCGCCTGTAGCACGGTGTTCATGAAGCACGTGTTCCCAAGGTTGACCAGGCCGCGCCGGTAGCACGAGTTGCCCAGGTTGATCTCAGTCGGAGAATCTGCCTTGGGCGGCGTGGCTCTTGTGCTCCTCTTGCCGCTGGTTTCGACCTCAGGCGCACAGCTAGCCGATGGCGTAGCCGCCGTTACCGCGTGGCTCCGCGGCCACCGGCGCGTCGTCCCTGGGTTGCTCCCAGCGGTGGAGGCAGCCCTGCGGGTTTGGCCTGCTTGTTCTATGCCAGATTGGGGAGCGGTGGCGAGGACGGAGGCCGCGTTGCCACGAGCGATGGCCACGGACAGCCGCTGTCGCAGCCACTCCGTCTCGCGACGCTCACCCGTGCAGGTTGCCAGGCGTCTCCCCAGGTCCTGGACGAAAGCGGCGGCGGCCGGACCATAGACACCGGTTGTCTCCAGTGCCACCGGAATAAAGCTATACCTCCTGGCTAGGTCCGCATAACGCTGCCGCTTTCGCTCTTCGGCCTGCCTTGCAGCTGCACCCGGTTTCAGTGCGGACTCCACCGCTATGTGGTCGGCGAAAGTGTCGACGCAGGTCGCGTCCCACGACAGACACTTGCCCTCGCGGAAGGGGAAGACGGTGATGCCATCCGGTCGTCTGCCGTCGCCCCGGTCGAGGCCGACTGGCTCCAGAATGGCGGGAAAGCCAGCGCCGGAGAGAGCGCGCGCGCACCACGTCGTTCAAGTGGGCATGACGCGAGTGGCGACCCGCACTTTTCTGGCAGGAGAGGCCATGATGTCCCAGCGGGGTGACGGGGCGCGCACACAGACGGCACCGATGCGGCTCGCAAACCGGGGCGCCGAGTCTCAGGGCCACAGCGACGCGGACGGTTTCGTCGTCGAGGTGAAGCCCGAGACTCGGCACCGGCACCGCCTGGATCCAGGCCGCTGTGTGCGGCTGGCCGGCGGCGATGAGCCGAGCTCGGTCGATCTGGTTGGCTGGTACCAGTAGGCGACTTTGGACCACCGTACAGGCGACGGTGTCCCACGCGCGCTGACTACTGACCAGCTCATCGTCCGGCAGCTGCTGTCGGTCCACCCCTGTGCGATGAAGGAACGCGCTGACTGCGGTCTCCAAGGTGTCTGAGAGTTCATCAGTCACACTCGGACAGATGGAACGGATGAGGGGGCGTGCTGCGTTTACCGACGCAATGTACGCTGGTAGCGCCAGTGCCTCGACTGACTGGATGCCCAGGCCGCCGAACTTCACTGGAAGCGACGCCTGCTCCCATGCCGCAGGGTTTATGGCCACGTTGCAGACAGCTTCTAGTGTGCTGCGCACCATTTCGTCAGTAGCCTGGAGTACGTGTGGGGCTTTGAACGCCGGTGCGGAGCGCAGCAGGTACGTCAGACGCGGTGCCGATACGTGGTGCGCCAAGAAAAACACCGCAGTGTGGCTGTCTAGCTCGCGCAGCCGGGTGCAGAGGCGTTGCACCATAGCAGAGGCTGCCTCCCCTGCTGCTCCTATGCTGCCGTCGGTCAGGGGAGAGCCAAGCAGAGATAGGTTTGTGAGCTCAGTCTCTTTGACGTCAGGCAGCGCAGAGCAGATGGCGCTGATGGCAGCGTGGCGGTGGTCCGAATCTTCAGCGCCAATGAAGGCCACCTCACACTTGGCCGCGTTCAGTGAGAGACCAGCGGCTGCCAGCGCTGTTGGAAGTGTTGCGATGTCAGCAGCGACCGCGCTGGCTGGACCGGCCAGCGTTGCATCGTCCAAGTACCAGATGTTCAGAGGTGCTGACACTGCTCTGGCACAGGAGTCAATGGCGATAGCAAACGCGGCCGGTCCGAGCGGGTCGCCTTGCTGGACACCGCAGGCCGAAGCGATGGTCTGCCCTCCGATGATGAGTGGGCTGGGTGAGCTGTAGGCCTGGTAGGCTAGGTAGTACACCTCCGGACATCGCTCCCTAATGCGGGTCAAGAAGACGTCGCGCCGCACCGTGTTAAAAGCATTTGACACGTCAAGTTTGACCAGCACGTGTGGAGCAGCTGACTGTCGGCTGGCTTCAATGAAACTGCGCGTTGCATGGACCGCCGCCTCGCAGCCCAGGGGCGTTCCTACCCCGAGCTGGACAGGACGGAGTTCGACACCAAGGCTGTCTGCCACGAAGCGTGCTCCGATGCGGGATGGCAGGCGTCGGTAGACGCTCCCGACTGCAATGGGCCGCAATCCGCCGCTCTTCTTCCTGAGTGCGCATAGTGAGGCGCTGAAAAGGGCGTCCCTGGCACAATCCGGCACCTCACCGGCCAGCACCAGGTTGGTGAGTACCGTCAAAGAGTGCAAAAGACGGCGGCCGCTCTCAGCCGCCTCCCTGGATATAAGCTGGCGTAGATGTAGCGGCCTGATGCCGTCTAGGCCTGCTGATGATCCCGGAGGCATCGAGTTGATAGCGGCCTCCACCTCCTCCGGCGTCACCGTGAGCGGCCCTGGGTCTGATGGGGCGGGCGGTGGCGGCAGAAGCTCGTCCTTGGGAGCTGCTGGGTGTTTCAGCATTAGCTCGGCGATTACTTCGGCGTCAGGCTCGGCAACTGTATCGTCTGAGGTCAGTAGCCTTAGGGCCGCCCGGATGTCGCCATCTGCACATTTCCCGAGGATCCGACGGGCCAGGGCGTCAGTGGCAGCCTTTTGATGTTCTCGTGCTGAGTCATTTGTTGGTGGTTCGGGAAGCAGGTTTGGTGTCATGGTTTGGTTGGGGCTGGAGAGCTGCTGCCTGATGCTCGCTGCGGCACTGACATTATTATCGCCTTTTCCTGGTGTGCGTAGCGCGAAGAACGCGAAAGACAGGAAGGTCCACCACGCGCAGATTGTGCGTAGCTTAAGGGCATCCTCTAAGGCGCTGCATAGGGCATCGGCCACCAGGGGCCTTACGCCTTTAGGTATTCGCGAGATTAGTTTAGTGCTTCTCCTTAGAGTTGCCAGTCCTTCGACGACGCCAGCGTCTGGAACCTCTCTTCCGTTGAAAGCGTCAGAGAGCTGGGCTGACTCGCGGCCGAGGCATGCAGGACAATGCCAAACAGGGAGGTGATGGGATTTCCTTGCAGGGACCTTAGCGCAGGAAGTATGCCATAGTTGCCTACAGGAGCCGCAGGTGATGGTTGTCTTCCTGCGGCTGCGAATGGAGCAGGCGACACACTCAGCAGGACTCTGGGTGGACGGCTGGTCTCTGGCGTCGTGAGGTGGCTGGCTGACCGGAACCAGTGACGGCGAGGAGGCTGGTGGTGAGGCGTCTCGCGCTCGCTGGCTGGTCGGTGTCGGTGACGGCGAGGAGGCTGGTGGTGAGGCGTCTCGCGCTGGCTGGCTGGTCGGTGTCGGTGACGGCGAGGAGGCTGGTGGTGAGGCGTCTCGCGCTGGCTGGCTGGTCGGTGTCGGTGACGGCGAGGAGGCTGGTGTTGAGGCGTCGCGAGGCGGCTGTGGGCTGTTCTCGCCGTTGGAGGTAGGACGCTGCGGGTCGCAGGGCTGGGCGACAGGAGTATTTTGGCAGGTGGTGCATCTCCATTCCGTGTGGAGCTTCGCGAGTCGCAGCAAATTCGACCGGTTGAGGACTGCGCAGCGGCCATGGAACCACCGGCTACATTAGTGGCATTGAACTGAGCCGCTCCCGACACCCCGGCTGCATGCGCCGCAAGGGTATGTGACATGTTTGCTGGTTAATCTCCGGGTCATTGCGCTTGAGTTCAAGTTATTAAATGAAGTCTTGGAAAAGAGTGGCCGAGCATAATCTTGCACTGGAGTAAAAGATGTCGAACAAATATTCAAAACGAAGAGCGAAGAAAGCTACACCATCCGGACAATAGCAATCCCAAGAGAAACTTGATTACTTCTCATGGGCCGACTTCATACAGTTGCAATTCAACGCATCTTCCCGTTGATTTCTTCGGTGCAATCAGCTCATATATATCCATACGACACACTGGCGGATCCAGGGGGGGGGGCCACGGGGGCCATGGCCCCCCCAAAGGCCTAAAGTGGCCTGTTTGGCCCCCCCCCAAAACGTCAGAAAAATTTCTAAGAAAATATACCTTGATGGAGGTTTTTAGCCACTTGGTGAAGTAAAGTTTCCACAGCATAATATGGAAGCAATATGGTAGCAGTGAGGGTCAGTCAAAAGTTGCGCGAGCGGAGTCGACCTTCAAAAAAAGACTGTTGTTGGCACGTGTTTATGGCGTGGCAGCTGGCAGTTGGCGGTGTTTCGCGTGGTGTGGCATCACTGGCGGATCCGGGGGGGGGGGGGGGGGGCGGGGTAGCACGGGAGCCTGAGGTGCCCCTGACAGGCCTGTGGTGCCTCTGGCGGGCCTAGGGTGCCCCTGCTAGGCTGCTGATGCCCCTGGGACCTGACAGGACTGTGGTGCCCCTGACAAGCCTTAAGTGCCCCCAACAGGCCCGTGATGCCCCCGACAGGCCCAAGGTGCCCCTGCGACCTGCGTGATGCCGTGATGCCTGCGAGGCCGGTGGTGCCCCTGCGAGGCCGGTGGTGCCACTGCGAGGCCGGTGGGGCCCCTGACAAGCCCATGGTGCCCCTGCGAGGCCGGTGGTGCCCCTGCTAGACCGGTGGTACCCCTGGCAGGCCTGTGGTGCCCCTGCTAGGCCGCTGGTGCCCCTGGGCCCTGACAGGACTGTGATGCCCCTGACAGGCCCAAGGTGCCCCTGTAAGGCCGGTGGTGCCCCTGTAAGGCCGGTGGTGCCCCTGTAAGGCCTGTGGTATCCCTACTAGGTCTCTGGTGCCCCTTTGACAGGCCCATGGTGCCCCTGCGAGGCCGGCGGCGCCCCTGGCAGGTCTCTGGTGTCCCTGACAGACCTGGGGTGCCCCTGACAAGCCTATGGGGCCCCTCACAGGCCCGTGGTGCCCTTGCTACTTGCTAGGCCTGTGGTGCCCCTGGCGGGCTGGTGGTGCCCCTGCTAGGCCGGTGGTGCCCCTGACACGCCTGTGGTGCCCCCGGGCACCAAGGGGGGTCATGACCCATGTGGCCCCCCTTGGATCTGCCACTGATACATAATATATTGATTTGTAAAGGCGTTATGGCTTATGCAATATGCAATTGCAGGCACTTGGTATGCCTCACTTATCCCTTATTGGGGGCTCTGGCGGGCTCCTGAGGGCCCACGTCTATCTCCGGGAGCCCTTGACAGGCTCCTTTGGGTCCTTTCAGTCCACTATAGCATAAGAGGTCTCCATGCGAGTCCTATACATCTGAGGGCGTACCCTGACGTCTGAGGTACCCAACTGCAGCTCCAATGGTCTCTTACACTGGCGGATCCAGGGAGGGGGCATTTAGGGCCATGCCACCTTCCCAGAGGTCTAAAGTGGCCCGTTTGCCCCCTCCCCCAAACGATAATGAAAGGCATAGTTCAATCAGTGCGTGGCCTAGGAGCCGAGTTAGACAGGGGGTGTTTTACCACCTCCCGGCCCGCAAAGGGACCCAAGCACTGACTCGAAGCGGGTTAACTGGTCGACAAAAGCAATGGTAAGTGCTTACAAAGTAATATAAAGGCATGGGTCGGGTGGGCTACCATTTATATATTTTTCTTTCTAGTTAAAAAAAAATCATAGTGTCGGGGCTGTGACGAAAAATAAGTGGCCTAAATCCGATGAGAAAACAGGATTTGGGGGTACCCTAGGTTTGGCTCCAGCATGAGTTGGCCCCCCCAAAACGCAAGCCTGGATCCGCCAGTGATACGACATATATGGATATATCCATACGGCAATATCAATACGATATTGCCGGCTTTAATTTCGTGGGAGCTTTTAGTCGCAGTTACGCGTTGTTAATATCCACGAGCCTTTTTGGCAAAAATCAAGCGTGGATCAGCAGTCCAAACAACAATGTTTTTTTTTTAACTAAAGTTCAAAATTTTACCATTTTCAAACGCTTATATCTGGCAAGTTACACAACATTAAACTTTATAAATTACAGTTAAACATTCTACGTTAAATTCCTAACCACGCTATATTATTTTCAGCTCGTGACACAATCTAGTTACGGTAAAAAATGACAAAATACTAGAGCCCCTTCAAACACGTCCGACCCCTCTAATCATGACCCGTCTTTCGCAAATTAAAATCAAACTTCATTGACCGTTTAGAGTTTCAGCCTGAGTGATGCCTTCTGTAGCCATTGCCTGTTTTTATGCCTCCTAAGCTATCGCTATTGCCTATTTTCACCCAAAGTGTTTGTATGCCTCTTTGGTCAAAGCGTCTGCTGATGATCGAGATTGCCGCCTTTAAACAGTTAATTACCATTCCATTGGTTGGTCGACTATCAGTCACCTTGATCTTTTTTCAAATTGACCTTTTGTTGGGATCTAAAAGGCTGATAATATCAGAAACTATTATAGTGTTGGTCGGTCTTGCTACCTATTTTTCTCGCGCACCGGCATCGTCGATACTAACAATTTATGAATGAACCGTCTACCCGTGTATAAACGTCTTTTTTTTGCAAGCTAACTAGCGGTGAAATTGGTGCCGTCTTTCACAGGTGACGGGAAACTGACTCCAGCGCTGGTAACAATGTTTACGTATGACCGTATGGTGGCCCGTTTCAAAGTCGGATGTCTCTTGCTCGTTCTTCTCTGGTCTCTCTGGAGTTGGTAAGGATAAGGCTCAAGGAGTGAGCTGGTAATACGCATTTAGCTTGTAAACGGTCACGTGTTTTGATATAAGCATATACCTATAAGACATAATTGAAAGTGAATGTTTTATTTTTAAACGGTTTATGAAATAAGACGCCAACTGTCCGTTGTTTCGGGAACTTCCACTTACCTCCGTTTACCTTTTCCGTTTATCGCTGATCTCATGGCGATAAATATTAAATGATCGGATGTACGAAGGTCTTATAGTTAGTGTCTATTGTTGGTTGAGTTAAATATGTGAAGGACATAGGTAAGACGGGTCCCTAACCCTGTTTGTCTGTCTCCCCCAGCACGTGGTTGATGCGTCAGTCCATCTGCCCTCGCCTGGAATCACCCCCACCGCAGCTCACCGTCACTACAGAGAAACACCTCCTCCCGCCTCCAAGCGACGACCCGGCAGTCATGGCGGCTGCGCTCTTCTCATTTATCGAGCTCCCCCAGTACTGGTGTCGCCGTCTCACCATGTTTGGAGGGCAGACGTTCAGCGAGGACACTGCGGGCTCCATCGACGGAAACAAGTTCATTTGTTTAGACGAGCCCCCAGCGCTGCCCTGTCTCGTCTATTCGTTTGGGAGTCGAGACGAGTGGAGTTTTGAGCGCGACGTGAAGCGTCAGCTCGGCTGTGAAGTACACACTTTCGATCCGAGTTTGAGCGATTCGAGAACCCCGAAAGAAACTCACGGTGCGGTGTTTCATTCCATCGGTCTCGGTGGTTCGACGCGAGTCAACGCACGCGGTTGGAAGCTCGCAACGCTGCGGGATCTGCGCGCTCAACTGGGGCACCTGACTTCCCTCATCGCCTACCTGAAGGTGGACATCGAGGGCGGGGAGTGGGAGTGGCTTGAGACAGAGGCGGAGGAGCTGCAGGATGTGCTGCAGATCGGCATGGAGGTCCACCTGCCTATGCCAATGACGCCCATAGTGCTGAAACGTGTGTATGGTGTGTTTCGGAGGCTCCAAAAGGCTGGTTTTAGAACGGTGTTTTCGGAGGTTAACCGCGTCTGGGGAAGAAATCTGAAGGTAGACGGAATGGAAGGAAACGTGGGGAGGTATTATGAGATTGTGTGGGTGCGGGTCACGTGATGGGTGAAATGAGAGATCGGGTGTTTCTGAGGTAGACATTGCGTCAATATCGACATTCTTATTTTCTGTTGCACGGTACCTACTACATATGTTTGGGCTCGACTACAAGCGCTTAACCTCACTGAATTCGTCATGTTTGCCGATTTGGAATGATTGTGCGTACTGTCGGCGGCGTGGTGAATGGGCATTGTGCTGGGCGGTGGCAAAGGGGAGGAAGACGAGGTCGATCGTGATAATGAGCTTGAGCCACTTCAGTACTCGCCCATTACTTCTAGAAATATTCAAAGAAGAAATTAAAAGACATTTTAGCAAAAAGTTCGTTTTTTTTATTGTCGTGTAAAACGTTTATTCATTCGCCATTTGTACTGTTACATCCTGTTCCTTCAATAGCATGATAAATTACTAGCCGTCATCGAATGTCTTCATTTGAGTTTGCTGTAGTATTCAGCGCACTTTGACAAATATTATTGTTCGTTTTTGAGCTGTATTTTAGAAATAGAAAGAAATTACCTAGCAACCTGCTGGAATCTCTTTAGTACTGCGCAGGTTGCTAGGCAACGTAGACAAACTAGGCGATGGCGCCTAATTTTCGAACATTGCTACAGCCTGGCACTGTCGTCCAGTGACTGAGCAAAATCAATTGAGTGGAGTGGTGTTTCTGAATTTTCTTGGAAATCTAAGCCGCGATAGCGTGGAAGACATCATCATCGCGATCGCCACAGAAAATTTTTCAAAAGGTAAGTTTAGAATCAACCCATGTTAGGCTTTTAGTTGATTTGAAGAATAACTGAAGAGAGCCATTCAAGAGGAATCTCAGGAATCATTGTAATGCAGTTTTGTTTTCTATTGTCAATCTGAATTCTGAATCCCCTTCTCAATTTATGTATGTTTGAGTGGATTCATTTGGATTAACTGGGGATTCATCAGTAAAAGAATGGAATTACAGTGGAAAAAACTAAATGCTTTTTCGTTTACATCTTTGATTACGATGGAAATTACGTTAATACAACTTGGCTTGCATCTTCTTCAGAACATAGGCGGCGGAACGGGGGGGGGGGGGCACCGGGTGTCACGCCAAACGCTCCGTTCCGAGACCAACGGGTAACTGTATTTCAGTCGAGAGCACCCGGCCGGCCGACCCTGGCCGGCCAGATGCCCCAGGCAAACAGGGGCGCGCCCAGGCACCAGGCAAACAGGGGCGCGTCCAGGCAACACAGGTTAACATTTCCTCCTCCAATGAAATGAAAAAGAAAACAACGACAAACAAAAACAACGACAAAACAACACTTCGGTATGTCTACAGACATTCTACACCGTTCGCTGCACCACTGGTTTCACGAACTTCAGATGCGTTGAATAGAGCTGTACTCGATTGTTCTGACGTGTCGGGTCAATTTAAGTTGAAGCTTCAGAAGCCGATCAGAGTCCCTCCCAGATCCGTGTCTTGTGTGTGTGTAAAAACGAACTGTGTTCTCTCGTCGGATGCGTGCTATGTGTTGACGGGACAGCGTTCAGGTGATATTGAGATCACAGACAGTCTGGTGAAGCCGTACACAGCGCGACAGATACCGCTCACCATTCGGAACCGGTCTGACCGATTCGTCACTTTGCGTAGGCGAGACGTTGTGGGGTACCTGCAGCCTTTAGATGGCGCAGGTGTCACCGAGTCGGTCGCGTTCTCTGACGAGGATGAACACGAGATAAATGCGGTGTCCAGCAGTGACAATCAGTTTCTCGGTCTGTCATCGGAGGAGGTTTTGGACAAGTTCAATGTGGGGAGTGAGTTCGCCGGTCCGGCTAGGGAAAAGCTTGGTTCATTGCTGCAGTCGTTTCCCGACGTTTTTTTCCACCAGTTATGCCGATATAGGATGCTATCAGGGAGGCGACGTTGAGCTAGAGTTAGAGCCGGGGACCAGGCCAAAGTTTTCAAAGCCGTACCCGGTACCTCTGGCGAAAGAGCAGCCTCTCCGTGATCAGCTGGGGAAGCTGCAGGCCAGCGGGGTGATCGCGGTGGGTGAGCCGTGTGAGTGGAATTCGCCGGTCGTACTTGTAGCGAAGGGAAACCGGTCGGAATTCCGTATCGTGCAGGATATGAGGGAGATAAACAGGGGCGCGCCCAGGCACCAGGCAAACAGGGGCGCGTCCAGGCAACACAGGTTAACACCGGGGCACCGTGCCCCCCTTTAATTTTGCAAGGGGGGCACCAATAGCAAGGTGCCCCTCTTAAATTTGATGTATTAGTACCAGGAGCGGATTCGGGAAAACTCCAAGGGAAGGGTCATGAATCGAAGTGGTGCCCCTACCTATACCCAAAATGAAAACCTCAACGGATTTCGGCCACTTAATTTTGGTGGTGCCCTATTTTCAGTTTTCTATTTTCTTTATTTTTGGTTAGTCGTGTGATGACTGGTGCCCCTGCTAGGCCGCTGGTGCCCCTGGAAAGATTGTGGTACCTACCTACCCTGCCCCATGACAAGCCCACGGTGGGCCCTGCACATGACTTAGGTGCCCATGGGCCCTGACAGGCCCGTGGTGCCCCTGACAGGCCTGTGGTGTCCTTGCTAGGCCTGTGGTGTCCCTGGGCCTTGGCAGGTCTGTGGTGCCCCTGGCGAGCCTGTGGTGCCCCTGTTAGAACGCAGGTGCCCTTGACAGGTTTGTGGTGCCCCTGACAATCTTAAAGTGCCAACGACAGGATTGTGGTGCCCTTGACAGGCCCATGGTGCCCTTGCGAGGCTGGTGGTTCCCCTGCGAAGCCGATAGTACCCCTGGCCGGCCTCTGGTGCCCGTGGCAGGTCTGTGGTGCCCCTGGAAGACCTGTAGTGCTTTTGCTAGGCCGATGGTGCTCCTGACAGGCCTGTGGTGCCACTGACAGACCCGTGGTGCCCCTGCTAGGCCTGTGGTACCCCTGGCGGGCCTGTGGTGCCCCTGTCGGCTGTCAGGCCTGTGGTGCTCCTGGCAGGCATGTGGTGACCCCAGGCCCAAAGTCATGACCCATGTGACCTCCCCCCTGGGATTCGCCACTGATTAGTACTGCAATGGCTTCTTGGTAATTTGATACATGTAGGATTAACCCTCGCCAGGCGAGGGCCTTTTCCATAACACGGACGGCGAGGGGGGGAGGGTTGGTACGACCCCCTCGCGATTGGCTCCTATGGCACTTAGAAACGACAAATTTACAGGGTAGGTGGGTCCATAGGAGATCTCGCCCCTGGGAAAGTTTGGTGACTCTAAGTCAATATTTAGGGGGTTTGGGGGGTATGAATGCAAAAATTTTGCTTAAACATGTTAAAAGTTTTTCGCTTATAACTTTTTACCTAGCAAAGATAGAGCAAAAATAAAAGCACCAGTGAACTCAGGACGTCAGAGCGCATCGAATGGTATACTTTGTTACCAATTTTAGTGAACTTTGGAATTCAGTTGCCGCTAAGCTAGTCCAATTTTCCCCTGACCTTGTACCGGTTTTTGTGACCTGGTGACCTGACCTGAAAAGACTGGGACTTCAAATTTTCAGGAAAGGTGCGAAAATGTTGCCCCAGAGGGTATGCCAAATTTGGCGGCGCTACGCGCCGCCGTTTTTACGTTATTTACGAAAAACTTTAGGGGGGTTGCATCAACCCCCCTCGTCGGGCGAGGGTTAATGGAATTTATCAAACGAGAATAAGGAAGAGACAAACACATCGGTACTTGAGGATCAGCTTAAAGTTAACCACACATACGGGGGTGTTCTGCCATTTTCGTTTAGTAAAAAAAAAGAATAGAAAAAATAAAAAATCATCGTGTCAGGGCTGTGACGAAAAACAAGTGGCCTAAATCCGATGAGAAAACAGGATTTGGGGGTACCCTAGGTTTGGCTCCTTGAGCTGGTGCCCCCCCCCCCTTGTCTCAAATCGTTCCGCCGCCTATGCTTCAGAATGTTGATCTTTCTAATGGTCTGCTGAGGGGTGTTCACAGGCACCGCACACTGCTGCGTGCGGTGTGTGCGGTGCGTCCAGCAGGCGTGGGGGTAGGGGATGGGTAGGCGGCTCTGACGTCACGGCTGCGTGCGGTGGACGGTCCGCTGTGGCCAGTCCCGACCAGCCACAGCAATCGCTGTGTGCGGTGACGGAAAGCTGACGTAGGGACGCGGTGGGCGGAGCTTCGAGACTGTGTGCGGTCCGACCGCACACAGGGCCCGTGAACAGCCCTCTGATTTGCCATTTGCTCTGCATTTTAATTTCTAATTGAATGCATTTTTTGTTACACTGCTTGTGTACCTATTCCTGGTTTTTGATAGAGCTGATGAGTGTCCAAGTCCATGCAACATTGCGTGTGACGTAACATAACCTGGGGCCTGGCCTGGGACTTGGGAGTCTCCATTCGCCCATTCTCAGCCACCCTGTGGAGCAGAGAACTGATGCAGTGTCCATGCAGTGTCCAGTCCAGTCTGAAAATAATGGCAACAGGGTTGACAGGGCAAACCAGCTAGAGTTACAAATCTGCACCAGCCTGTACCAACATGGCTCACTGGGGCCTGTGAGTCTCCATCCGCCCATTCTCAGCCACCCTGCGGAGCAGAGAACTGATGCAGGGTCCAGTTCAGTCTGCAAGTCATGGCAACAGGGTTGACAAGACATACCAATACCAATACCTCCGGAAACAGATATGGTAAACATGTAGATTGTCGGACGTAGGCACTACTGAGAAGAGGCAGCATCCCATGAGCAGCCTGCTCCCTCTGCCTCTTTCCTTTATACTTTGGTAAACATCTACTTCGTTAAGCATACCAGGTAGGGTAACAAAGCTGCACCAGTTCACAAGAAACAAGACCTAAACATTGCTCACCTGGTTTATGGTTAACTCGCTTGGCTGGGTCCCCATTCCCCTGCCCATCCCACTGAGACATAGAGATTAAAGGGACCCTCCCACCTTAACATTCGATTTGAGTTGAGATAGCCAAAATGGGGTCCCTGGCTCACAATTACCGGTTTCGGCACTCACAACATCGAGAAATGCCTTAAATCGGAAATATTGAATTTCAAAATTGCA